CTCAGAGAATTTAAGCAACTTGTCCAAACTCCCATAAGTGGTAGGAAATGTAACTGAAGTATCGCCTTCATCTATCTACCTCAAAGTCTACAACATTCTCGAGCCCCATACAAGTGCACTGTGGATATACTACCTTAAATATCCAAAGTTCTGTAAGTTGGGCCTGGCACAGTAGCCTGGTGGCTAAAGTCCTCGCCTGGCACGCGCCTGGATTCCATATGGGCACCAGTTCTATCTAGCAGCCCTGCTTCCTATACAGTTTCCTGCTAGTGGCCTGGGAAAGCAGTTGAGGAAAGCAGGGACATTTTCCATTGCTTTGCCAGTCATATTAACAGGGAGCTAGATCAGAAGTGGAACTGCCCGCACTCTAACTGAAGCTCCACTATGGGGCCTCAGCCTTGCAAATGTTGGCTTACTCCACTGTACAACATTGGCTGTTTCTTCTTGATTGCTGCCCCCTAGAGGCAACTGTTTTCAGCATTTTGAGATTCTTCTGTTACTATTTACCATTCATTTATAAATAACATGCTTATACAATTCTAGATATCCTGACTTTAAATACTTCCTGCTTAACTACTGTTGGAGATGTTAACTGTCTTATACAGCATTTTTCGCTTTCTCATTCTTCTCTACAGTTATAATTTTTAGCAAGTTGGATACTCTCCACCTAAATTATGAAGACTATATGAATAACCACAGCTGAAATAGGTGATATAGTATAGTTATGCCCCCTCCACCTTTAAGTTATGCTTATTTTAAGGGCACAGGGAGAGATCTTCATTCAGCGGTTCACTCCCCACATGCCCACGTAATAGCCAGAACTGGATCAGGCCAAATATGGGAACCCGGAACTCCATGTAGATCCCCCACATTGGTGCCAAGGACCCAGACACTTGAGCTATCATCAGCTGCCTCCCAAGCTGTGAAATTAGCAGAAAGCTGGGCTGGAAGCAGGGGTGGGACCTGAATCCAGTCATTTCTGTATGGGACACGGGTATCCCAGTTAGCTTTTCTTTTCTTTTTTTTTTTTTAAAGATTTGTTTTATGTCTATTGCAAAGTCAGATATACAGAGAGGAGGAGAGACAGAAAGGAAAATCTTCTGTCCGATGATTCACTCCCCAAGTGAGCGCAACAGCCGGTGCTACACCAATCTGAAGCCAGGAGTCAGGAACTTCCTCCAAGTCTCCCACATGGGTCCAGGGTCACAAGGCCTCAGGCCGTCCTCGACTTCGTTCCTAGGCCACAAGCAGGGAGCTAGATGGGAAGCAGGGTTTGCTGAGATTAGAACCAGCGCACATATGGAATCCCAGTGCATGCAAGGCGAGGACTTTAGCTGCTAGGCCAGGCTGCTGGGCCACCCCAGTTATGTCAAATGCTGATACCTTCATATTTCTTCTTGATTCACTTCTTGCATTTTTGTGAATATTTAATTTAGAAAGTTTACTTGTTTACGATTTATTTTATTATTATTTTTTTTTAAGATTTATTTTTATTACAAAATCAGATATACAGAGATCCTGGAGTGTTCAAGGCGAGTACTTTAGCCACTAGGCCACACCGCCGGGCCCAGTTTACTATTTATTTTAAAGAAAAATAAGATTTTCATTTTTATTTGGAAGGCAGATTTTTACAGAAGCAGAAAGAAGGTCCTCCATCTGATGAGTCACTCCTTAATGGCCACAGTGGGCATAGCTGAGCTGTTGCGAAGTCAGGAGCTTCCTCCCAGTATCCATGTAGTTGCAGGGGTCCAGGACTTGGACCATCCTTGTGTCTGTCCCAGGCCATAGGCAGAGGACTGTGCACCATAGGATTTTCTAAATGAGCAACGTATGCATCTCCTGGAACAAATCTTGTTAGTAAGACATGCCTGTCATTCTTCAGTCCATCCTTCAAAGAATGAAGCTGAGGCTAGATGAAGTCAAATGACCAATATTTACATAAATAACATTGACGTTTTTGCTTTTTTGCTGATTTTTAGCTCTCACGTTTTTTCTTTGCTGTTGATTGATATGAAGACATGTTTTTTCTTTCCTTTTTTTTGGTAGGGGGAGGGGAAGAATATCCCCTTGGGAGAAAGGACTGTCTACCTCCATGTACGTCTCCCACTTCCTTCATACTGACTTTTCCATATCTATTTGCTCTAAAGATTTGTAGATAGAGCAGAGAGAAAAAGATGACAAGTGTGAGATGAAGTTTTGGGATGCATGTATTTCAAATGCAGTTATTAAAACTCGAGGTCATAGCTCAGAATAGTTGTGAAATCACAATTACCATTTTTAAAAAACAGAGCACCAATTTGCATCACACATACTAAATATTTTGGGAACTTCCTTTAGTTTTATTTACATAATTCATACATATACCCATTTGCAATTGCATGTATACATGTGCTGGCTTCCAGCACAAAATGTATTTCTCTTAGTAGGAAATACAGTTACAGTTGAATGAAAATTGGAAAACAAGTGTCGAAAACATGTGCCTTAATATTTTCAGTAAGTTTTGTTTACCTTGTTGTATCATTTTGTCATCAGGCCTCTAATCAAAATAACCTTTCTGAAAATCAAGAAACTAAAAGCAAACCAAGGCAAACCAAAGCAAAAAACCCAAAACCAAAGAGAAACTCGTGTGCTTTCCTCTCCAACATTTTCTGGGTACTCACTGCATAGGGATTCTTGGATAAAGGCCTCTACGCTTAAACCCATGATCTTACTAGGGAAAATAATTAAATTAACTGAACATTACATGAATTAGAATGACTATTTAAATGTTAAAGGTATGAGTAACAAGTTGGGAAGGTAGAGATTCATTCTGACCTGGGGAGATCATGGAAGGCTACATGCCACACAAAGAGTGGCAAAGCATGTTTTTCTGTAATTGACCTTTAGTTTTGATGGGAAGGTGGATTTACAGAAAGGAGACAGAAAGATCTTGTCACCCAGTCTTTGTAATTAGCTTAATGTTGAAAATGTGGCTTGCTAACAATCTTACTGATGTAGACACAGCTTTCATTTGTGAATTCAGTGCTAGATGAATTCTAAGAGCTAAGTTCGCTCTTAGACAATGAGGTAAAAGGAGTCGCTGTTAGTGCCTTGGGTTAGCACCCGAAGCCTTTAGCATGCAGCACTGGCATCCTCTAAGAGCGCTGGTCTGAGTCCTTGCTGCTCCACTTTTGATCTAGCTCCCTACTAATGGACTGGGACAGTGGAGGATGGCTCAAGTCCTTGGGCCCCTGCAACCACTCGGAAGACCTAGAAGTTCCTGGTTTCAGGCCGGCCCAGTTCTGGCTGGAAGCTTCTCTCTGTAACTCTGCCTTTTAAATAAAAAATAAGTAGGTAAATCCTAAAAGAGAAAAGGCAAAATCATCTAAAAAAGGCCTACACTCCTATCATAATACCCAAGCCTTGACTGCTACGTGCAGCGTTTAGCTTGGAGCTCTGGTTGCCCAGGGCTGAACATGACAGAATTACCAATACTCAGCACAGATGCCTCAAGTGACTTCATGAACATGACTGGATCACCTTAAAGGACAGGAAGCTGACATTTCTTTCAGCTCATGGAAGTTAAATTCTTCATTAAATGCATCAACTAGTGCTAGTGCTTGCTAGTAGGTTGTTTTTAAAACTGCAAATGATTGATGATTTTTTCTGAAGCAAACAGCTTTGCTTTCAAATTAAGTGATCAGTGGGTTCTGTTATCTCTGAAAGGCGTCCAAGTAGTAAATGACCAAGCTGGCTGTCAATTTAATTACAAGTTCAAGTTCACTTGAAGGCTGCTGGTACTTTTGAGTTAATCCCAAATAATATCACTCAATCATAACCTATTCATCAGAGCAAGTTTATTTGATTACTTATTGCAGACAATGAGGCCCATGTGTACAACTAACACAATCCAAATAAAAGGCAGGAAAAATATGAAGTACATGATGGCTACCTAGAAAAGAGCAGCTGCATTCAGTTTACATAATACTGTGGAGTGATGTAGCACCATTTACATCAACATATCCTAAGTTGTCCATAAGGTAATTGAGTACTTGCTAAGATGCAGCAATAGCTTAAAAATTATAGCCACCTTGATAACTGCTTGTTCAACTCAGTTTAAATAGTTATATCAGAAAAATTATTTCTGAAAAAAAAAACCAGAATCTGGGATGGGTGTGCATTTACACAATTTAATTCTAAGGAAACATCTAGTTAACATTGTTGAGACTGGTTTCCTTCCATCATCTGAACTTAAATTCTAAGAACAGGATGATAATAGTTAATTACACACGCATTCTTAGGCAAAGCTCTTGTATGTATTGCTCTGTCCAGGATAGAGCTACAAAAATGAAGCAGTGAGACATTTAATACTGAAATTAAAGGATTTGAACCTTCAGTGGTTAATGGTTATTTTCTACCATGTTAAATGATCATCCTAAGTCGTATCTTTTGATTAACTTCAAGTTGAAATTTGTTCAACTAAACTTTGATTTTGTTAATGAACCTAATGACATGGAGACATTTGCAAATGACAATAAGCATCTTTCTAGATGTTGATGAAGCCACATTTCACCTTAAGTAAACATGGTTTTTCAGAGCCCTCCATCAGCGCATTTATAGAAATATACCACAATATCAAATGGAGGAAATTCTAAAAGGTTCAGGATTTCATTCCGATAGTCTTTCCCTTACCCTGGTTTTTAAGAGCAACAATCACTTTGAGAAACAGATGAAAGCTATGAATTCCTCACCTCACCCATGAAAAATTCTTATAAATAAAAATTTCTAAATACAAATTACAATGGTTTCACTAAGGTGTCATGACTTCCAAGAATTCTTGTGTCAAAGCAGTAGCAAGCCATTTAGACACAGTCCATTTTCCCACTTAACTGCTGCTATAATCAAGTAAGCATTTACATTATGCCACTGGATTGCTACCTTAGGACGAATTTACTCTTAGTTTTAGCATCAACATACTTTTAAAACTCATTCAGTGCATATTTTTATAGTTCTAATCCAGGCACCCTCTAATCTCAAATGGCATAGGTCCCTAAAAGTCTAAATGGCAGAGAACTGTTTTCCTTTGATATACACTACTCTCCAGTGTCAGACACTAAAAAATGAGTAACTAAACATTCCTGTGAACATGTTCCTATGTATTGAGCAGACTGTCTTTATAAAATGTATTTCCAGCTATAGTTCCAAATTTGAAAACAAACATGTGTGCTTAGTACCAGAGAATATAACACACAATCCCAGAGCATACCTTTTCCTTTTACTTACTTGAAATCAGTACAGTGGAGGCCTCCTATTGTGGTAATGAAATGTACTGAAACTCTTAACCAAATTAATAATTTTAAAAGGATCTAAAGAACTCCTCAGTTACCAAACAGGTGGAAGATAGCTACCTTTGAGGATTCCGATACTGACTCACTGGTCATTGTCTGAAGACTATATTAGATAGACCCTTAAATTAAAAGAAATGATTGTATTACTCCATTACTTTAAAGAATCCGTTTATATCAAAAGGTCAATTAAATCAAACACAGATGTATGGGGAATTCTTGAGAAACCCTGAAGGCTGACTTAGAAGCAGGAATTGTAAAATGCACAATCATTAAGTGTATAAAATGTAATCAAATTTTGTACTAAAGAAGGCTTCAAAGTCTGAAGTCCTATGACTTTTTTTTTTACTTTTGGTCAGAGATTTTGTAGAATGCCAAAAAGTAGGTCAATAAAGAAAAGAGTAAGCTCTACTTTATCTTAAATAGAAAGTTACAACTTGTTCATGATATTTTGTTTTCCGCTATGTTAAAAAGTGAGTTGTGAAATGATCATTTTTCCTTGCTCTTCTTTTCTTCTAAGTAGTTTTTAATGTTTTTCTTTGTACAAGCTAAACACTGGAATTGGCATTTCAGAGACCTAGTAGTCTGGGAGTAAGAGTAGGAGAGGAAGAATGTGGTTCTCTGACAACTACAGTTCAACAATGAACTCAGCGGCATTTCTTCACTAGTTACATGTCTTCTAAGTTCTGTATTGTACACAGATATCTCTCCACACTATTCAATATACCTTTTGGTTTTTTCCTAATAGACCAACTGAATGCTGAGTGAAAGCTGCAGAAAGAGGTAATGTAAATTGATGTTCCTGGTGCAATTTATACATTTTCATTTTAAATATAATAATTCAACCATATTCCATACTTAAATAATTAGACTAAAGAGAGACAATAAAGGTTTTAAAGGTTTCTCTTTGAAAAGATGGTATCTTACAGTACATACAAAAATACTCTGAAAATACATACGACTTCATTTACAAAACACTGAATCAACATATTACAAGAGTTACATGGTTATGGGTTTTCATAAACTGAGCATGCATTCATGAAACTTAAAAAATATTAAGAAATGCATTGAAAAAAGCAGTGTAAAAAAAGATAACTCATATAATCAAATAAAATTTACAAAGGTCCTGAGCCAATTAATGGTTGGTAACAATGTCACTCAAAAATGCCTTTAGGTTTCAATAAAAACCGCTGCTTATTCTGCATGCCTAGTCTGTGAAGAAACTGTTTGAAGTTGGAGGGTAAATTATGGTCTGGAATTATCATGCCAAGTTAATGTTACACCTCAAAATACAAGTTTGCCATACTTGAAAGTATCTCATTGTTGATGCTGGGAATCACTCTCCTCAGAAAAAGTACCAATCAACTAACTAGAATGGCATGAGCCAGGATCTGTGACAATTTCACCATTCATATACTGACTTTCAGTAGCCTGGTTATATGTTGATTTTTAATAAAGATGCATTTCAAAGGCCTCCATGGGAGGCAAAACAGAATTTATGGTGCCCAACTCTTACTTAATCACTGGATTTTCTCCTTGGTAACTATGCAACATTTGGACAGAAAGGCATAAAAAAATAATAAAAGTTTAAATATTCTATGTGTCAATCTGGAAAAAAATAATTTAAATCAACAGAACAGACATGTACATTTACAAAACCATGGAAAGCAGAAAAGATATCTCACATTCATTCATCTTGGGTTTCACAAAGTGGCTTCAATGCAAAAGTAAATTTGTTAACATTTGGAAAATTACAATTTTTTTGTTCATTTTCAATTTTTTAAAGCTCTATACAATGATTACAAACATAAGACTGAAAAAAAAAAAAGGGAATTCGGGATTTTTTTTTTTAAACAGTATCTATCCATGTGACCAAGAACTGGTTCCCAAAACAGAGAAACAAGCATTGAAAATTAAGGCAGTAAAACCTCCAAATGCAAAGCCATAATACTGTAGATGACAATTTGATAGCAGGTGATCCTCAGAAGTGTATGTAGCAATCTGAGAATGCTACAGCATCTGCAGGTGAAAGTGTGAGAGTTCAAAAACCACTTCAAGGTTGACTGGCTGATGACTGCAACTTTCACCTTATTTAATGTATGACAGCCACCTCTATTCTGAAAAGAATGGCTGTCTATACCACTAAATGATTGCAGGTTCCTTTAAGTGAGGAGGCACTGCTTTTACCGATTAAGGGTCAGTCGAATGGAATTTTTGATGACACGGATATTATTTGCTGGAACTGGTGAGGATGAATCTGGTAGTTCTTTGCTAGGTAGTCTCTGTTAGAAAGAAACAAACAAAAAAGGAAAAACATATCAATATTATAAATGTCCAACTAGTAAATCAGTAACAAATTCTACAAGTCCCTGAAGCTCTCAACATTGAAGGGTGGGCTCAATATTTCCTTCTGGTGTTTATAGGCATTTCTTGCTTTTTGAACTTTTTTTAAAAGTCTAAGGTGTAAAGAATACAGAAATGGAAAAAGTTACAAAAGCATTTATGAGAAGGGCAGAAAGTGTGCAGTTCAGGAAAGAGGACTACTCAGTGGCAACTGCTGACTTGAGCAATGTGAAGTCAGGCATGAGAATCAGAACATGCCTAAGGGCACTAAGGAGAAAATTGCTGGGATGAGAGGTAAAAATCAGTGTTTTTTAAAGAAAATTTGATTTCCAAGGAGCACTATTTCTTAATTAATTTCTGTATTAGATTCGTGGAGCTGAATAATGTGACCTGTGATTTACTTAGGTTCTCAGAAAAACTATACTTTGTAATCAGGTAGGCCACTCTGATGTCAATGAAATTGAGAGACATCTGTGTGAAGGATTCTGAGGATACTAAGGACCATTATTTAAAGAAGGTTAAGATCTAAGAAACTGAGAAACAAAGACTTTTTATGATGCAAACAGTAATTTTTGGTCAATAGAGGATGAGCAAGAGTCTATTTTCTTGTGTACTTGGCTAAACAACTATATCAGTCACATCCATTCACGAAATTAAGGAAAAAAAATTATGAAGGATTTCAGATATATAGAAAATAGAGACTAGGCAATGAATACTAAATGATATAATTAAGCCTCAGTCACTTAAAATACTGTCATACATCTGGTTTATCTACGTATCTTTCATATTTTGATATATTTTAAAATTAAAACATGTTTATTTCACTCATATACTTCAACATCATCTTAATACTTTTTTCTATTGCCAAATATAATTATACACCCATACTATTTATAGCATGGTCTTCTAATGTTAAAAAACTATAAATTCATAGTTACTAATAGCCTTTGTGGCTGGTGTTGTGGTGGTACAAGTTGAGCTGCTGCCTGCAAGGCCGGCATCCCATATGGGCCCACGTTTGAGTTCCAGCTGTTCCTCTTGGATCTAGCTTCTTGGTCATCTACCTGAGGAAGCAGTGGAAGATGGTCCAGATGCTTGGGCCCCTGCACCCATAAGAAACTCCTGGCTTTTGGCTTTGGCCTGTTCCAGCTCCAAAAGCCACAGCTATTTGGGAAGAGAAACAGCAGATGGAAGATCTCTATTTCTCCCTAATTAAGTAAATCTTAAATGAATAACAGCCTTTAAAGGTAACCATTTTGCTTCCAGGTGGCTAAAACATCCTGCAGAAGTTCTGATGTGCATTATAAACCCTGAAAATAGTTTTCTTATTTAGATATGGTTGATTTTTTTAAGAGCACGTGACAAGCTTACTATGTTTAATACTTATTGCTTAATAATAATCCTGCTTAATATGCCTGATAATATTACCAGTATAACTAGCAATCCCTCAAATAGCTCAGGTTTTAAAGGTACTGACATCATACAAAATATTAAGACATACATTTCCTATTTAGTGAACCTAAATTTGTCAGTGAATAGTGTACAATAAAAGCTATACTATCAGTTATTGAGAAGCAAACTGGTTTGAAAACAAGTAAGGCAAAAGTGGATATATTCTAAATAAACCAAGAAGTCTTAAAGAATGGCTTCTCTTCCTTTTTTAAAAAAATATATATTTGGGGTCAATGCAATGGCTCAACTGGCTAATCGTATCCTGGATGCTTCCCTTCCCTTCCAGATCCCTGCTTGTGGCCTGGAAAAGCAGTTGAGGATGGTGCAAAACCTTGGGACCCTGCACACCCATGAAAGACCCAAAAGAGGCCACTAGCTCCTGATTTTGGAATGGCTCAGCTCTGGCCATTGTGGCCATTTAGGGAATGAGCCAGCTGATCTTCCTCTCTCCTTCTTTCCAATAAATAAATTGAAAAATATCATATTTAAGACTTTCCTGTTTGTTTGCTATTTCCACTCCCAATCCTAACAGTATTGCTGGTCCTTGAGAAAAGGGAAAAATTTATGTTTTCCCAAAAGTACAATATTAAGTTTTTTACTGTAGGTCACCTGAATTCTACCAATGTGCTTCATTAGGAATAAGACTATTACCTTTTTGCGTGATGTATCAATAGTTGGGATAGGCATAGATTCTCCTCCATTAGCATCCTAAAAACAGAATTATATAAAAGTGAAAAATTTCTTTCCTATATGCAAACACTTATTCCTACTCAGAATAAAACAGAACTATAAACTGACAGTGGATCTAATCTGGCTCAGTTTCTATCGTATTTTTCATATACGTGGCTATTTAATAGTAAATATGCTCAAGTACATTAATAGTTACCAGTGATTTTCTTTTTCTCTCTTCAGCAGCATGAGAATCCTTAAAGGCTGATTCAAGTCGAATAAACTAAAATATAAACATTAAAATGCAATGTTACTACGTACCTGCAAAAACAGATATCTCTATAAACTAGGAGACTAGTTTATTAGTAAAACTTACACAACATCAAAATCTTACACAAATATAGGTCGATGAGGGAACAGAAAAATTGGACTGAATTTGAATGCTGCCTTTAATTTCAGTTTGAGTGATCTTTTGGTTAAATCAATTTAGCTTCTAACAACTAAAATACTTTTACCACCACCTACTGGAAGCAAAAGAGATCAACATACCACACAGAAAATATAATTTAGTTACTAATTTAGAGGGACTTTTACAAAGTTAAGGAAAAACTCAGACCAATTATTCAAATTTCCAGTAATCTGAAATTAGAATGAACAATTACTATATTATTTTAGGGTCTAAAATAGTCAACTCCTGGCAGAATACTAACACAGAATACTAACACAGCAAAGGAGAACTGAGTGTCCTCAGTATTATTTTAATTTAAAAAGAACAATCAAATACTGAATTATCACCAGAGTTGTAGCTTTACCTTTTCTATGTCTTTCAACCTCTTGGAAGTCCCATCTACGGACGGTGAATGAGATCTTTTGGGTGTAACATTTTTAGTTATATTTGATATTCCATTGAGGTGTGGCTGTCCCTGGGCAGGATTGTGGGGTATTGTAATTCGAGGAATGACATTTCGCCCAACAACAGTCGGAATGGTACATACAGCTGGGGGTGATGCTGCTTTTACTGTAGAGTCAACTTCTGGAAAGGACAAAACAGTTTTAATAAATAAATACTTACACGGTGGAATCATTAGTAATAAAAGTTTAGATACCTACTTGCACCGATGACTGGAATAGATAGTCCTTGAGCTGGTGGGACACTCAGTGGTTTCTCCACAATTATAGCAGCAGGTTCAGTATTATTCCTTTGAAAATTAAGTTGCTATCATTAATTGATTTAAATATGACTTGCTTAAACATTTTTTTAAATGTACTTATTAGTAACTGGCAGAATAAAATCTTAACAATTGAAGGATAAATCTGAAATACAGACCTTTCTGTTTCCCCTGCAGGAGGACCCTGAGGTTTGGAAGGTTTGTTTGTAGACACTGGGGAATTAAAAGGTGTCCCATTATCAGTGTCTCTGGAGCTATCCAGACAGTTGCCATCCAGGGATGATCTTTTGGATTGAAGTCCACTTCTACTGACATCAGAGAGACTTTGCTGAAAAAGGAGAAAGTTTTTGGGATTTCAAAAAGCAAATGAGAATACAAAGAATAGTTTTAATCCTGAACAGAATATAAACAACCTATCTTATGATTAGTCAAGGTAATTCTAGAGTGAATTATTTTTCAATAAGGTTTGAGATGCAAAAAATGCACATTTAGGTCCAGGAATGAGTAAGTATATTGTAAAGATTATATGCTTGAAGGGCCAGCATTGTGGTGTAGTGACTTAGGCTGCCACCTGCAACACTAGCATTTCATGTGGTATTTCAACTGGCATTTCATATCTCAGCAGAGAGCTGCTTTACTTCTGATCCAGCTCTCTGTTAATGTGCTTGGGATTGCAGAAGACAGCCCAAGTGCTTGCATCCCCCACTTAAGGAGATTCAGATTAGTCCCCTGGCTTCTGGCTTAAGTTTATCCAATACTGGTCATTGCAGTGAAACAGCAAATTGAACATCTCTCTATCAAGAACTCTGCAACTATCTCCCAAATAAGTAGAAAATATTTTAAAAATTATAAGCTCACTTTTTTCTTCTTTTGAAGAATCTCTGCTGGAAGGTAGTGATGAAGTTGTTTTTTCTTTACATGAGTAGCTTCAATTTTCATTCCCTCCTTCAGCATGTTAATGTTGTTTGCCTGTCTGTATACTGCAACAACATTAATAAGTTAATGGAGAAACTTCTGAAAAGCATATACCTTTACTATCTCTACAACACACACAAACACCTCTTACAGAACAAACATTTCATTTCTACTACATCACAATCCTATTTGAAAACAACAACAACACAGCAACAAGAATGACTAATTTTTCCATGTTTATCTTTTCAGATTTTCTTATTAAGCCTTGTTAGCAGAATAAATTCATGGGAAAAAGGTTTCATCCAAATGTCATTCTGTTAGTTTTCTAGAAGGTAATCTGTCATCATCATTTGCACAAATTTAAGCCAATTCTTATATCAAATATCTAAGATGCAGTTCAAGAGATCCCTCTACTTTGAGGCTTATTTTACTGTTGAGGCTCACATCACTCACAGAATGGCAAACTTCAGAAAACGTCTTTAAGTACATCTTTGTTGTACAGGTAGGAAATGACAACAGGGAATACCCTGCTGGGATCAGAGTACAATCAGCCTAAGCTCCCATTCTAACACTCTTTCACATCTTATTAAAAAATAAAACAAGCCCAGTTTTCTTAATTACCACAGGAATTACATAATATATCTTGTTTTGAATATCCAATAAACTTACTCAAGACAGGGATAGATTTATTTTGCATAGCAACTACTATGAAATGTGGTAAATTATTTAATTTCCTGAAACCCTAGCTTTTCTTTGGAAAATAACACTTTATATATAAATCTATAATAAACAGAATATACCAAGTCCTCCTTTTAAAAATTCTGCATGTTTTTAGTTCACAATGTTCATAACGTAATTACACCAGGAGTGCTTGCTCATGCAATATTCTCTGGCTTCATCCCTAGATTTAGTGGTTCTAAGATAAAGCATAGGAACCTATGTTTTCATAATGAATGTGTTCATTTACTTCAAAATAATTCAGAAAAATCAGAATTGTTAAACCAAGAGTTGTAACAGTACAAATATACAATATTTTAGATTATTAAGGCAGTCTAACATTTATACAAGACATATTAAGATACTCCAGAGATTAGGAGTTAGATGTGTTAGGTTGTTAAGATGTGAAAGCCACTGTTGTTTTCACTTGATCCTGAAAACATATTCAGCAGGTCTGTACCTACTGAAACATCACATAAGCAGCCAGCACAATGGCTCAATTGTCTAATCCTGTCTGAAGGTGCCAGTATCCCCTAAGGGCACTGGTTCAGGACCTGGCTGTTCCACTTCCCATCCAACTCACTGCATAACCTAGGAAAGCAGTAGAGGATGGCCCAAAGCCTTGTGACGCTGCACCCACAAAAGATACCCAGAGAGGCTCCTGGCTTTGGACTGGCTCAGCTCTGGCTGCTGTGGCCATTTGGGAAGTAAACCAGCGGATGGAAGATCTGTCTCTCCTTCACTCTATAAATCTACCTTTCCAATAAAAATACAAGTAAATCTTAAAAAAAAAATCAAATAAAAAACATAAAGATCAAGTTAATTTGTGACTGATGATAAACCTTGTCTGTACATAAAGAATCACCTATAGAATTTTAGAGGCTTTTTTTTGGTTTGTTTTAAAATAGAATACATCCACATGGAACAAAATCCAAGGGGTTGAAGTGTTTTCAGGAAGTCTCCTTACACCGGATTCTAAACACACTGATTATTCTATAACCTAGAAGCTACCAAGTTTTTAAATTTAAAAAAAAAATTTTAAATCCTTCTCGAGATGTTCAATTTATTTGTCAGCAAACTTGTCTATTTTTTTTTGTTTGTTTGTTTAAATAAATGGTACCATTCTATACACATCGTTCTGCAATTTCTCTCCACTGCCTCCACTTAAAAGGACTTGGGAACTGCTGTAGCTTATTTCCTTATTTTCATAATACGTATATACCATATTCATTTAATCAACAACAGAACTTAAAGTCTTACCTGTATCAGTAAATGACTGTATATCATATGTCAAGTCTATGTTAACACTTTCTGCATTTTCTACTCTCCGAAAAATTATTCCAAGGAACCACATTGATACGTAGTTGTTGCTATAAAGTAAAATGCAATAATTTTCACTCATTTTTTGCCTACAGTTTTACAGATGCTATTTCATAGCTAAAACTTAGTCTCTATGCCTCTATCTCAAAGACACAGATTTCAGTATTTTGGCAAAATTCCTAAAATTGACATCTAGACAGACAACTTATTCTATGTTGTTTTATAGAGAATCAGGTGGCTTTGAAAATGATTGTTAATACACACTTAAAGACACTTCAGATATTTTGGAAATTTTGCTGTGGTCTGTGAGCTACGTAGTAGCATGTACAGGAGCTAGCACTGTCACAAGTGGGACAAGCAACCACCTGTGACTGTGGCATCCCACGAGTGTTGATTCAAGTCTCAGCTGTTCAACTTCCCAGCCAATTCCTAACTGATGCTCCTGGGAAAGCAGCAGAAGATGGCTCAAGGGCTTGTGTCCCTACCACTCATGCAGGAGACCTAGATGGAGTTCTAGGATTCTGGCTTCAGGATGGTCTAGCTCCAGCCATTGTGGCCATTTAGGAAGTGAATCAGCAGATGAAATTTTCTTTCTGTCTCTCTTTCTAACTCACCTTTCAAATAAATACATCTTTAAAATAAAATAGTGTGTACTTTCAAAGTATAGGCATTCAAAGCTAAAATATAACATTACCCTCCCATCAGTGACTATTAGACAACTTCATAACTGATATGAACAATATGCCAAATCATATAATTTAGGAAGTAAAATTCTAAAAACCAAACTGACTTACTCTTTATGATGCTCCTTATTTCCTGGGAATGACTGGGGATTTACATGGGCGAGAGTAATAAACTCATTACGTTCCAAGTTTCCAACTAGTACACGAATCTTTGATTCGACTAATCCAACCCTGAAGCAACAGATAAGATTTTTGTTACAACATATTAAATTTGGAAACGATATTCAATAAAACCAAAGAGCTCATTGGTTATGAAGCTTAAATGTCACTTAAAAAACATAGTTAAAAATGGTAAGAACTTTAAAAAATACTATAAGGTAAATGACAAATTCAGTGAGTTGTGTGCATTTTTTTAAAGAACTGGTCTGTTTAATACTTACTGTATTAATGTAGTTAAAATAGCCACAACTAGAGCATGAACAAAAATGAATGGGTAATCTGGTCCTAAATCTCCTCTTTTTGAATCTTATATCTAAGTAGAAACAGAAGTAGGGCTGGGCTGAGTTCAGCCAGTGACCACTGACAATGGGACAGTGCTGAGGCTGACAGCAGGGAGGTCCGACCAGGCTGGAGCTCCTGCCCAGAAGCTGCACCCGGAGGTGAGATGCACAAGGTCGTGCTCTCCTCCATGGCGCATTTCTCCTCTGCCTGGCCCTCTCTGACTTACTCCTCTTATCTTACAGAAACGGGACTGTGCACAAAGACTGAGTATCACACTTGGATGAGATGAACTTGGTTACAGTTTCTACTCTGCGCAGTCAATGAATGGGCCCAGAGAAGTAGGAGATTCTGATTGAAGAGATTTAAGAATTACTTGTTAAGAACAAGTTAGGCTCTGGTAACTAACCTTTATGAAGCAAATATAAAACCTATTTAGGAAAATAGGAAGAGACTTGTGGTCATACTATGCCCTGCTGCTGATAGCCTTTATAAATGTTTTAAATGTAAATATCCAATTCTATTTTCCAGCAAATATTAACAAATATGTAATATTCCCTTATGGGAATAGTTTATGAAAAGACCACATCTGTCAATCATTTCTGTTTACCCTTTTATCTGTCAAGTAAAAAGCCTCTTACAATTAGCCATAGAGTCAGAACATGGTTACAGTGATATTTAAGCATAGAATCATTAGTCTATATTCTTAATAAATGTACCAGTGTAACAAATTGTTACACCCATGAGGGAGACCTAGAAACTCCTGACTCCCAGCTTTGGACCAGCTCAGCCTTGAATATTGCAGCTTGGGGAAGTGAATCAATAGATGGACCTGTTTCTGCTCACCTCCTCCCAACTCTTTTAATAAAAAATTACATTTACACTGTAAAACTAAGATATATTTAAATAATGTGAAAAACACACTAACCGTGATACATAATTTTTGAAACAAACATGTTTTGACTTTCACAAAATGTTAGCCTTTACATATAAAAAAGAATTCACACCTCAGTGTTGTGGAATAGTGGGTAAGGCTGCTGTCTGTCATGCTGGAATCCCTTACAGGTGCTGGTTTGTGTCCTAGCTGCTCCACTTCTAATCCAGCTCCCTGCTGATGGCCTAGAATGACAATGGGGCAGCTTGGGCTGCTGCCATCCATGAGGGAGACCTAAAGAAGCTCCTGGCTCCTAGCTTCAGCCTGGCTTAGTCCTGGCTGTTGCAGTCATTTAGAGTAAACCAGCAAACGGAAGACCTTTTCCCAAATCTTTCAAACAACGTTTTCCAAAAACTCACTATATTGGAATCAGATACTAATAAAATAAACAAAGCTTTATTATATCTCTGCAGTTTGATGTCTATTTCATTTAAGAAATGTGACTAATTTTGGTTCTATGACCTTACTGGTGATTTTTGTGAGTTAGAAATAACTAAGACTTTTTTTCAAATGACTATAAAAGTTTACACAAAATAACTACAACAGTAGATTTACAAAACCTGAGTTATTCCATTGTTATGTAAAACTTTTTTTTGACGAGTTCAGGAAATACTTTAGGCCTCTGAACTATGCAGTCTCTGCAGCAACCATTCACTTGGCTGTGAAGCATGGAAGCAGCCATAGTAACATGTAAATGAGCAAGCAAGGCTAATTTCTTAACAAACCGTTATAAAAAGTAGTGGCAGACCGAATTTGGCAGACGATAGCTCCCTGACCCAGGATGTAGGCAAATTAGACAGTTTCAGTGACAGTGAAAGAATTATTTTTAAGGTTTCTTCCAGTACCAACCAAATGAGCATCAACACCTTGAAGCAACAGTAAGACAGTGCTGCTCCCACCTAACGGATCTGAATGTGGATGTGTGAATCTAATGGAGACAGGCGGAAACTACGGTCTGACCCACCTTCCTGTAGTCCTTGACCCTCTGTGCCCTAATCAACTATGTTAAGATGATCCAAATAAAATAATAATTAAAAATATAGAGTGGAGACAGAGGAGAGGAATTTAGACGGACTAGAAAGGTTACACTGCTCCTTGACCAAAAATAGCTCCTATCTATTTACAGGAAAAATGGTAAAGTATTCAATCACCATCGTCTAAATTAGAGGATACATAAAATGTCTTTTCTTTCAAGTTTTGATAATGGAGCAAAATATGAGAGTAAGGAGAATAAACTCAGGAGTACACGTATCAAAATCATCTAGAGTATGACAAAATTTTTGCTACATTTAACTCTGAAAGACAACAAAAAGCAAAAATTGTACACAATCTTTTATCACTCCTGATTCTGAAATGCTAATTTGATGATACCCCTCAAACAAGTATCAGCTGTTAATATCAAGTAGTTATTCTATAATTGCATAGCACCATATCACTACACAGTAGATGAAGAACTTGAAATCTAAGTCTTACCATTCTAGATGGTTTTCTTCTGTTGATGCACTGGCAGTCAACACTATGTAATGTCTATGAAGAATTTGCAGTAACAATCAGAAAAAGGAAGAAAACAAGGAGACATTGTGAGGGTCTGCTTTTCCATCATTACTTTTTCACTCTCATTTCCAATGAACAAAATAGCTAAAAAAAGGATGCAATCTATAAAAATTAAAACAACCTCTCACTTTGACAAAATCAATTCCAGATCTTGCAATCTGAAAAGAATTCACTTGGAAGGCACTTGGTTTATACGTCAAGATGCTGGTTAAGACTCCTATATCCCAAACTGAAGTGAATGGTTGGATGACTGGCTCTGGCTTTTGACTCCAGTCTCAGGAAAATGTGGATCACAGGAAAGGCTTAGTCCTTCCTATCCATCATGGACATAGAGTGACAGACATCCTGGCTCCTGGATCTGGTCTACTCCAGTGGTACCATTGTGCTTTATGGGAAGCAAAACAATCTAATGGTGCTTACTCTACCTGATTCTTTCTATCTCTGTGGTAAGACCAAAACAACCCACTTAAAAATTCACTTAAAATATCACTACTCCATTAGTTAGTATTAGAATAAAGAAACTTTGTCACTTAGATTTGTAATAACCTATTCTCGTCCCTACTTAATATAAAGGTAAGCTGCCACATATATTAATTCAGCCATTCTTTAAGAATGTTACACACTCACTTAACATATATACAAAATGTAAAATTTCAAATACCTATATTTTTGAAAGAAATTCGGTGGTTCAAGTAGTTTGGACCAATCTGATTTCCCCTGAAGAATTTCATCTGTGACTGCGAGACCTACCAAAAAAAACCGTAGCAATTCTGAAAACTGACCAGCTTTTAGATTTCATGTGACCCCCAAATATTTAACCCAACCAAAACTCTTCAGTAATAAAATGTAAATAAATTACACTACTTCTCAGACAACAAAAAACAAGTTCAGTTAGACTGGGTCGACTTAATTTTTGGCCTTATTATTATTATATACCTTGGAAACTACTTAAAAATCATACATATATGAAAGAATCTTTAGAAAGAACAGGCACTATGTAACTAACTGCAAGAATAAAATTTTCAACCAAAACCTTGTGGAAATATTAAATATTAAAAGGGCAATACAGCCTATATGTTTACCTTGTTTAAATTCTTCTACCATTACTGTTCGAGTTGATGTGGACACATTATACGTAGAATTCTGTTGTGGATAGGCAGGGGTGATTATGGGCATGAGATGATACCTATCTGATGGATTTACCTGTGAAATTAGAAGTAGAATAATTGATCTATTCTCCTATTTCAGTTGTCCTCACTTCATTTCCCCAAAAGTCTGAAGAATATGAAATATAAATTTAATACTACATTTCCTCAGTTCTAAATAGAACATTTTCCCTCCCCATCTATATATCTGAATTCAGATATGTGTCTGATAGTCAACTGAAGGCACATCTAATAAACAATGGTCTTTTTGAATCATAGAAGCAAAGTATTATAACTGCAAAAAGCATTATCTGATCCAATGGTTCTCAATCATTTTTCTGTATCAACTCAACAAATGACTTTCTCTGGGAAAGTGCCCAGAGGAAATGAGCACTCCACTGTACAAGCAAATTAAAATGCAAAAAATATGAAAATTATGCAGTCTTGGAATTATGAATCTGTTTTAAACTTTATGTGAAGTAAATCTTCTATATACTTTAATGCTCCATTATTAGTTACTAATCCAGTTTTGCACACTGGATTATGACACTGGCTGATACACCCACTCATTCAGTTCTATATGTGTGATTTTTCATGACACAGCATTTGGATTAGCATTAAAGATTTAAATTATCTGCACAAAGACCACAGCAGAGAGAACAAAGATCATAGGGAAGGAAGAGAAACTGAAGTGAGAGAGATTATCTGTAACTAGACTGTAAAACAAAGAAATATCTTTTCCTAAAAAGATTTAATGAAGTTACATTGTAAATCACATACCCGGGGATCCCAGACAGGCAAATTCAAGTTGCTTTCTTCTGGTTGCTTCAACAGTACAGGATTTGGCCATTCCCTAATGTGAAAAATGCAAATTAACTCATCTAAGATCTTGTTTCAGGTATCATAAGAAATATAAAAATCAATAGACTGCTTTAATCTTCATACAGCAGATGTTCTAGGTATTTGGTATTAAAAAAAGAAATGCATGTAAAGGAAAACTCTGCTTAAAGTAGAGTTCTTTGAAAGAACATATATTGTCCTTTAGCAATTAAAAATTTGTTTTATTCTTATTTTATGATATAGTTCCGTAGGCTCTGGGATTTCCCGTCCCCATCCTTAAGTCTCTTCCTCCCTCCTGCTATTGATTTCCCCTCTAGTATCACAATGGGAAGCCCTTCAAGAATAGTCATAAACCCATCATTCCGCTACTGAAGTGTTTGCTGACACTGTAGGCATGGACGATGTCAGAGTCCAGTTTCCTACTGTCAGGCTACATTCAATAGCTTCACTGGGAGTCCAGCTTTGGTCTAAATGCAAAGATGCATATTGCACTATGTCTTCAAATCTGGATGTGTCAGTCCCCACTATACTTCTATTATAAATTCTCTAAATACAGATTAACAATTAATTTATAACTGAATTTTTCCCTTCTTTCTCATTTATTTTTGTGGAGTTAATTCTGATCTTTTAAAAATTATTTATTATCTAAAAAATTAATATTTTCTTTATTGCTTACATAACTGAGAGGAATGCATGCCCATCTGGGCCTCTGATTAGGGTGGGGAGCATCAGGTATGGAGGAAGGTGGTGGGACCAATGTTTCAATTATATTTTTCCTTCTATGTCCACAGTGGAGGATTTGGGGGGCAGGCTGCTCCTTGATGCAACATCAGCTAATATTTACTTAAAATACTAACAAATGCAGTAGCTATCATTATAATCTGTTAACAGATAATCAGAGCTAGTAATTTGTAGAACCAAATAAATTGTAACTACTTTTTCATGCTAAAGGTCCTCATTTATAGATCCCTGACACAAAGTACCTTCTGGATGTTACACTACTGCCTCAAATGCAGTGTTTTTATATTTTTCACTTAAGAAATTCAAAGCAGAAAGTTTATGCAGAGTGCTTATATTGCCAAATAAATTTACAGATAGGTATAAATTAGTAAACAAAGTATGCATATGAATACTTACCACTTAGAAAAAACTAAAAAGAATTTATGAACTAAAGTAGAAGCTGCTGCATTTGGATACAGTTGACAAGTTCTTGCAACAAGCATTGCCCAGGAGACACCTCCAAGGAATCCAAGCATGTTGGAATAAATACCACGTCCTAGATTAAAACATTTAAAAATCATTTTAAAAATTTTCTTACTCTTGACATTTGACAAGATGATTTTTAGATTTTCAGACTGTTGCTTAAAGCTTTTCCCCATGGACATAACATTAAAATTAGTAAAGAAATCTTCATACTAGGCTCATAATTTATGAGAAAGCTAATAAGTTCTCATTTTATTTCCACTATTTTGTATTCTAATAATATTACCTCAGAGTTCCAACTGCCCAAAAAAGCCCTATTGATATTCCCTAGCTGTCAATATTTAGGATTCAAAGATATCTGGAGAGTCCAAGAAAGGAACAATAAGCATTTCATTAGTAATCATATTCATGAAGTTATGTTAAAAATATTTGAAAGGCAGAGAGAAACAGATCTTATCTGACAGTTCACTCCTCAAATGCCTGCCATAATGGCTGAGGGACTGAGGCCAGGAACTAACTCAGGTCTTCCACAGGGATGGCAGGAACCCAGCTTACTTGGGTCATCATCTCTGCCTCCCAGAGTATCCACTGGCAAGAAGCTGGAATTAGCTGGTATCTTCACTGTCAGGTCAAAAGCCGCTCCCAAAGGTAATATTTTGAAATCCAAATGTAAACTTGAGGACTAACTTCATTATTTCACAGAAATTGAATACTTCACATCACTGATATGAATTTCTCATATGACAGTATAATTTTTATAGTAATTTGCAGAAAATAGTAGGATATCTTTAAATACATATTGTAGGATTAGTTTATGCCCCACTAACAAACAAAAGTATCAATTTCAGAATCTAAGAATGGACAAATCATATTTCATCTGTAGAAATAACTGTATTATCGCTTTACTGCAATACTACACAACTTGAACAAAATGAAAAATTCTATTTGTTTAAGGTCTTTTTAGATTTTCATTCCTGGGCCCGGCACAGTGGCGCAAGTGGTTAAGGTCCTCATCTTGAATGCCCAGGATCCCATATGGGCGCCGGTTCTAATCCCGGCAGCCCCGCTTCCCTTCCAGCTCCCTGCCTGTGGCCCGGGAAAGCAGTCGAGGACGGCCCGAAGCTTTGGGACCCTGCACCCGCGTGGGAGACCCGGAAGAGGCTCCTGGCTTTGGATCGGCATAGCACCGGCCGTTGCGCTCACTTGGGGAGTGAATCATCGGACGGAAGATCTTCCTCTCTGTTTCTCCTCTCTGTATATCTGCCTTTCCAATAATAAAAATAAATCTTTAAAAAAAAAAAAGAAAAAAGAAAAGGAAAAAAAATAGATTTTCATTCCTCCACATAGTTGCCATAAACTTCTTGTGACTAATTTTTTCTAACAACGTTGCTTACATAATCACATGTGGTCACAATCCATCCAGCAAATCACATCAAGGGATTTCACTACATTCCGTGTCATCTGACCACCATCATAGTCACTTTTAGAATGTAAACATCACCACAAAAAGCTACTCTTTCCACACAGTTCTCCTAGATATAGGCAGCTACTAACCCACTTTCTAGCTCTACAGACTGCCTGTTACGGACATTTCACATAGATGGAATCATATAATATGTGCTCTTTTATGACTGACTTCTTTTGCTAACATAGTGGTTTTGAGGTTGATTTGTTACAACATACGCATATGTATTCCCTTTTATTGCTAAACAATATTATACAGCATGGCTTTATCACATTTGTTGACTCATGATAGACAAGTGATTGTCTTCTCCTTTTGACTATATTACAAACAATGGTAAATGCACATTTGTGGTTTTTTTAAGATTTATTTATTTTTACTACAAAGTCAGATACACAGAGAGGAGGACAGAGAGGAAGATCTTCCGTCCGATGATTCACTCCCCAAGTGACTGCAACAACTGGTGCTGCGCCGATCCGAAGCCAGGAGCCAGGAACTTCCTCCAAGTCTCCCATGCGGGTGCAAGGTCACAAAGCCTTGGGTCGTCCTCAACTGCTTTCCCAGGCCACAAGCAGGGAGCTAGATGGGAAGTGGAGCTGCTGGGATTAGAACGTGCACCCATAAGGGATCCCGGCACATTCAAGGTAAGGACTTCAGCCACTAGAACACGCCACCGGGCCCACATTTGTGTTTTTATAAAGTTTTTTTTTTTTTTTTTACTGCTTTTTGTCACTAATTTTAAATATATTGAAATAAAAATTTTAAAATTCACTTCATGGGTTGCACATTTCTAGTGCCAAATTGCTACATGGTCACTACATTAGTAAAGACATAAACCATTTCTATATCAGAGAAAGCTTTATTGGATAGTGCTATTTTAGAATATGTAAAGCCTGGAGCCAAAATTACAGCACAACCTAAATTTATAGTCATATGTCAGCCCTGTGGTGGTCAATGACTAACTGCATATACGATGATGATACTATCAGACTGCAATGGAGCTGAGAAACTCCTATTGCTTTCTGAATATAGAGCTGAAAAAGAGACAAGAGAAAACTGCAGAAACAAAAACCACAGTGAAGAGTTTAGTAGAAGCTTTTGCAGACAAATTGTTAAAACTTTGAAAACATGGACTCCAACAACGAAAAGTTTCATTAACAAAGCATTCATTGTATATTAGTGGCTAAAAGCAAATCCACGACAAAAAAAAGAGAAATCAGGGACTGGTGTCATGGTGTACCCATCACCTGCAATGCTGACATGGGAGGCGGTTTGAGTCCCAGCCGTTCCACTTCCGATTTAGCTCCCTGCTGATGGCTTGAAAAAAAAGCAGTGAAACATGGTCCAAGTTTGGGGCCCCTGTCACTAGAAACCCAGAAAAGCAGGCCAAGTGCTATGGCTCAATAGTTAATCCTTGCTTTGCAATCTCCCGGATCCCATATGGGAGCTGGTTCTTGTTGGCCCTGCTCCACTTCCCATTCAGCTCACTACTTGTGACCCGGGAATGCAGTGATGGATGGCCAAAACCTGGGGACCCTGCCCCTTGGAAGAAGCTCCTGTCATTGGATCAGCTCAGCTCTCACCATTGGAGCCACTTGGAGAGAAAACCAGCAGATATAAGATCTTTTTGTCTCTCCTTCTCTCTGTATATCTGCCTTTCCAACTAAAAAAAAAAAAAAAAAAATCTTAAAAAAATGTCCGCAAGGATGGCCCAAACTCTTGGGACCCTGCACCCACATGGAAGACCAGAAAGAAGTTTTTGGGTTTGGATCAATCCAGCTCTAGCCACTGTGGCCATTTAAGGAGTGAACCAGCAGATGGAAGATCTTTTTCTCTCTCCGTTTCTTTCTGTAAATCTGCCTTTCCAATAAAAATAAATCTTTAAACTTGTGAGTTTTTTTGAATAAAAATATACAAAAACTTGAATAAAGGTATGAAGAAAATATTCTTGTTCAGCTAAGTTTGTTTTAAGCTGGATGCTACTGACAAAGCAAAAAAGTCTAAAAGATTGAAAAACTTATAGGGCAAAAATGTTATAGTTATTTTATTATTCAGGAGAAAGAATTCAAACAAATTTAGAGAAACTTCAGTCTACAGTGTTAGAAAAAGCCACTAGTAGGGAGAAGTAAAGTCCTAGACCTTCACATTAAGCACTGACTCATCTAGAGCAATGGTAAGGACCCATACAGAGGTACCATTCTTAGCTTTTATAAACTATTCCTTATAGTATCTATGTTTATTGTATCATATTTAGATACACAAGTAGTTACCATTGCATTACAACTGCTTCCAGTATGGAGTACAGTAAAATGCTGTACAGGTTTGTGTCTATGAGCAAGACAATGCCATCAAGTCTAGGTGTACCATAGGCCACGCAGGCCTGTGTTAGTATGCTTGAGGCCAAACTTCTCAGAATACCTCCACTTTAAGTGACACATGACAGTAACTAATGATAATACATTATGTTTTATGCCTGCTCAGGGATAAGTGAAGGCCCATTTATGAACTATGCTACATCATATACATATATAAAAATCATAGTTCTAGATTTTGTCAGGAAAGTACTACAAAGGAAAAACAAGTTAAAACCATTATTGTGGGCTTTTAGTTAGTAAGTTAACTAAATCGTGATACATCAGACTCTTTGAGCTGGTGTTACATGCAGCAAATTAAGCTGCTACCTGCAAGGCTGTCATCCCAAACAGGCACTGGTTTGAGTTTTAGCGGCTCCATTTCCAACCTACATTCCTGTTAATGGCCTGGGAAGGCAGAGGATAACTCAAATGCATAGGCTCTGGCAGACATGATAAAGACCCAGAAGGGAGCTCCTGGTTCCAGACAGGTCCAATCCCAGCACTGTGGCCATGTGGGGCATGCACCAGTGGATGGGAGATCTCTCTCTGCCTCTCCCTCCCTTTAACTCTGCGTTTTGGGTGGACAGAAGGATGAAATTTAGGAAAAAAGATAAACCAGAATCTTTGCTGCTAGTATGGATACAAAGATGGTTCTGTCCACATGGTGCTCAAAATCTAGTGAGGTTTCCACAGCCTGGTTGAAATCTAAAATTGAAAGCTCAGTTTTCATAAAAGGGAGGAGGGAGAGCTATACTTAAGGACACTATATAACCAATGCACTGAAAAACAAAGAGCTATTTAAAAATTTACTTGCCCTTGATAAAATCAACTCAATTAAAATTACAAGTTTATAATGCAAACAGACACTTACGTTTTGCCCACAATTTGACTGCTCTTAAGGTGAGTCTAAAAGTTTCTTTATTTGGCACTAAATGCAAAATTTCATCAGTAACTCTACATCCTGTGAAGACAAAAATATTCATTTTTCACTATGCAACAAAGCCCAGTTAATTTTAATTACCCTAACTTTCAGAAGTCCAAATACTAAAAGTATAAGGTAATAATAATATATCAGGATCTATTTTTTCTAGGTATTTGAAATTTAGCACTTGCAATTGCTTTGCTTTGGAAGGACTAAAAAGCACAAGGTCATGCAATCCAGCATTAACTTAAGGAGGGGCTGGAGTATCTTTTTAGTTTCCTCCTATATCTGACTTTGTTAACCAAATGCATCCACGATATAAAGCTGACAGTGCTTTAATACTGATTTAGTGATACACCCTGTAAATACAGCAAAGTGCAATACTACATTAAACACAAGATACCATAAGCTGGTTGTTCTTAAATGCAAATCTGTGAATCCCTGGGACTGAGAAGTCAAAGCAATTTCTCTAACAATACTAAGGCTTTCTTTGCCTTTTTTCTGCTTTGTTAACTTTTGTACTGATAATACAAAAGCACTAATGGGTGGATGCTGGACATAACAGTTAAAACACTGCCTGAGACACCTGCATCTTTCGATTGGCAGAGTGTCTCAGTGTGAATCTTGGCTCCAGCACTCACTGCAGTGGAGTTAGCTAATGTGCATTCTGGGAGCAGCAGGCATTAGATAGAGTAACTGGGTCCCTGACACCTACATGGGAGACAAATATTCAGTTTTAGGCTCCGGCTGTTTACAGACATTTGAACAATCAGATGAGAGGTCTTTGTCTCTCTTTTCTCTCTGCTTTTCAAGCAAATAAATAAATCAAGATTTAAAACATAAGGGTTCATACCTTAAAAGTATACCAGTTAGTAACAACAAACTTTAAACAATTTACTCTTATCTCCAGACTATAGTTGCAGTTAAAGAAAAAAGGAGGAAGAATGTGTATTACTGAGTTATGAACTGAATTTACTGCTACTTTCAAGGAACATCAGATTTATGTGAAAAAATGATTAAAGAAAAACTATGGCTATTCACAATTGGGTAATTGCAGGCACTCTGTTAAAAATGAACAAAGTGAGCCTCTCACTTCAAAGAAAACAAGTGACAAAATTTGCTACAAATTATTACAAATTTAAGTTTTCAACTTAAATTAGAATTTTAGACAACTTTCACAAACTTGACAGCTTTCTAACACTTGGGAATTTCCTGGTGAAATTGGTGATAATGTGATTTAAAAAATATTTTACAATGAAGTGTGTTAACATTCAGAAGATTAAAACAGTTTTGTGACTATTTTCCCACAGTCCAAAATATGCTAGTACAATAATCATGCATGGGTAAAATATCCATTCAAAGAACAAGAAAGACCAATGGATTTTAATTTAAAAGTTCAGTCATAATTTGAGGTTTCATATTCAAATTAAACTTTAAGTCAACTATCACTTGGGAATGAAAGTATAGCTTAGTGGGAAGGCGCTTGTGTCCTACACTGCTGTGCCTGGGTTCACTTTCTGGATCTGGCTTTTCATCAATGCAGAATGGGGGAGTAGCCAACCACGACGGGGATCTGGATTACACTCCCAGTTCCTGGCTCCATTCCTGACCAAGTGAACTAGCAAATGAGACTCTCATGTCTCTCTGCCGCTCAAAACAAAAGTAACAAAAATAACTTACTATTATTTATTTATTTATAATGGAAAGGCAGATACACAGAGAAAGAAATACACAGAAAAAGATGTTCCATCTGCTGGTTCACTCCCTAAGTGGCTGCAATGGCTGGAGCTGAGCCCATCTGAAGCCAGGAGCCAGGAGCTTCTTCCAGGTCTCCCACGCAGGTGCAGGGTCCCAAGGCTTTGGGCCGTGCTCCACTACTTTTTCAGACCACAAGCAGGGAGCTAGCAGGGAAGTGCAATAGCCAGCTTACATGCCAGCACCCATATGGGATTCTGGTGCATGCAATGTGAGGATTTTAACCACTAGGCTACTGAGCCAGGCCCTTTACTATCACTTTTATCAGAAACATGAGTGAAAGAAGCCAGACCAGATATTATATTGAGTAGTTTTATATGAAATGTGTTGAAAAGGTAAATCTATTGAAACAGAAAGTAATTATTGGCTTCCAGAAAATAAAAATGGGCATACGGGATTTTTTGAGGGTGATCATAAGCCCTAAAATTTAACTATAATGTTTAACTGTGCAAATATACCAGATGCCTGTGTAGGAGGACATTGTGACCCTAGAAGGTCAATGAGCACAGTGTTACAACTGATTGGATAATATCTGTATGATAACAAAGATACCTTTTGTATAACTGATTAGATATCATTTGTATGAGAACAGTTGAGTGGACAGCATGTGAATGAGAACACTTAGTAGAATATACAAAACAAAAGGAGTTCCAAACAAAAGTATAGAAACAGTTGACAGGTTTTGCTGATAAGCTCAATACTTCCTCCCTTATCCCATATGACCCTCAGTCTATAAAGTTTGATGCCACTAATAAACTTCGGCTTTGACCACCAGTCAGGATCCACGCGTGTTATTAGTCCTCCACTGCGGGACAGCGACACTTCTGAATTATACAACTGAAAAGGATGAACTTATGCTAATAATTATTGTTCCTCAAAAACAACAACAAATAAAATTTGTTACTGGTCAAATTTTGTTGTAGTATCAAAAAAGAGTAACCACAAATGTCTGAAAAGTTTTAAAACATTTCCTTTCCTACCTATAATCTCTAAGGGTTAGATTTTCCTACTACATGTTAACTAAAAGAAAAATACAACAGAGTATAAAAGCAGAAACATTAATCTGGGTATCATATAGTAAATCAAATTAAAAACATGTTGCTAAGCATGTATGAACAAAAAAGTGCCATCCCCCACACATAATGATTTACTTACACTGACTTATAATGGATTTTACTATTGTTATTTGTAATAAACTGGTAAATATTTTTTAAATGTCTCAGTATTACTTCTCATAATAAATATTAAGTAAGTAAGACATATCCTAAATAAATTAAAGCACTTGGGACTTTTGATAAATGTGAAGTGTAAAGGGATATGAGATCAGTAAGTTTGTAAACCATTACTGTAGACATAACCTTTCAAATAAACTGTGGTTTTCAGGATGCTTAAATGTACTCAAATTTATTATGTAAAGAAAATTATAAAAGCATTTTGAGTTGGTCCAATTCAGAAAAATGTTTGTTCATAGTTCTGCCAAAAGATATGATTGTTTTCATGCTGAGATCTGAAATTTCTTTAGAAGCTTACCATTTAGGCTGCGAATACACCGTATATCAAGGCTTCTCAGTCGAGAGTCATCTCGTAGATCTAAATTATCTGAAATGGTTTGTATTGCCAGTCTTGCAAAGACTAGATCAATCTTTGGAAAGAGGCAAGAAAGAAAAAAAAAAAAGTATTACTTTTTCTCTTTCTATTCATTCCAATCCTCATTCCCTCACCCCTACCACCTTGCCACCAAAACACGGTAAAAGTTCCAATTATTAGTTTGGGAAACTCTACTAAAATTTAAAAAGGCCTATGAAATCACTGCATAATTTAAGGTAATTAAAATTTCAAGTTAAGAAGAACACTTTAATTTTAGCAAATATACCACCCCCACCAAACCCAAGGTAATCAAGAATTTATCAATGTTTTTAGATGAAGATGGGCAATTCAGCACATGCATTCATTCCCTCTTGAAATTCCACTAATGTCAGGAAAAATTTGCTTTTTGCTCAGATTCATTTTTATTTTAAAGGAATAACCCACTAAAAACCGAGAGAATAACAGGATACAAGAGCAAAAGCTATGAAGGCTAGGAAGCAGAGGGACAAGCCATGACAGACAAAATAGACCTAGAAAGCAGATAAACAATGATAATGTCTAGGAAATAGAGGTCATAAATACATAAGAAGAAAAACTGTGAGGATGTGGGAAAAGAGTGGAAAAAAAATAGAAGACAGTTCTAACACATACAAATGCTACGATAGCAGAAAAAAAAAAGAGAGAGAAAACAAAGGCAGCAAACCGAATAGAATATACAATCTCTTGAACTGAAGAACAAAAGTTCCCAGATTGAAAGAGGACCACTGAGTACCCACTAGATTAATCAGAAAGACAAAGTACTTTGCCATGAATTTTACAATTATAAAGGCAAAAAAAAATCATGAAAATTTCAAAAGAAGACAAAATCAGTCTTAGATACAAAGAATGAGGGGGGCATTAATCTCTCAAAGGCAGCACAGGAATGAGAACAGCACAGGAATGAGAACAGTGAAGCAAGCTCTTCAAAATTCTGAGAAAAATTATCACCTACTCAGAATGCTACACTCAGGCTAAATCAAATGTAAGAATCAAACAGAAATTATTGAACAACAACACATCAAAAAACTGTAATTTCTCAAGAAGCCAGTGGGGGTTGGAGGCATCTGCCGTTCCCTGCAGTGTGGCGACTGTGGGGGGTGCCCCTGCCGGGTCGTACCCAATGCTGGGGACTCATGCCAGAGACACTGCCGCAAGGCAGTGAACAAGTCCTCGGCCTCCCCCAGGGCGGCCAGTGCACCAAGTGGTGCCAGGCTTTGCTTGCTGGCCACCCGATGGCAAACTCTGGGGTTTGTAAGATATGTAGTTGCTGGCTGGGGACACCCATGGCTAAGGCCAGTTTGAGTGTAGGTGAGAAGTGAAGTTTGGTTGATTCCCAGTGACAGGGTCATGAAAGATTCAGGCATGCATGGGGAACAAGACATGGTGGTTTGGAGGAAAGTATCCAGAAGATAATTTGGGTTAGACAGATTCACCAGCTCAATTAGGAATACAGAGATGGGCTATTAGCATAGAACATCACTGATCACCATACACCAGCCCACACCAAAGCTATGCATGGGGGCCTCTTTGGCAGTGTTAGGTACCATTACCCGACTGGGTGGTGGAGTCGTGGAGTGGTCACATTTGGCAGGATCAAGACACTATCCAGCAGACAAGAGAACTTGGTCTGGGGGTACTCTGTGGGGTTGTGTGGGCCCAACCCTCTGGACTATAAGTCCCTCTGGTTAGCTCGCAAGCTGGGGCTGCAATGGTCTAAGCTAGGTGTAACCACGCCACCTGCCATCTCTCATGGATAAAGGAATCCACAACAGTCAGTGTAGGTCAAGGCAGCAGCACCTGAATGTGCATCCTTAAACAGGATGTGGGGTGGGCCGGGATGCCACTGGAATGGGGCAGAATGGGCAGGGCTGAACAAACCTTAACTCACAAGAAACAACAGAAATCAGGTTGGAGCACAGGTCATGCCACGTAGGTCCTTGCACCTACTGATCTGTGTGAGGCAGGGACGCTAAGCCACAACATCCAAGGGGCCAGGACAAGTGAGGGGCTCTGCCAAGCTGAGACAGAGCAACCACCGGCCTGCACGTGATCTATGGCTGGGAATAGGCCCGGTTGGGGAGCTAAGGGGACACCCTAGCTGGGTTGAGTTTCCCACCAAAGAGCACATGGGCTGGAATTGGGGCTGCGTTCTGATCAGGATAGGATTGTAATCTTACTTGGCACAACTGTGGACTGGGACTGGACGCACCAAGCTGGGCCAGACTCCAACACCATCTGGTGCTCTGGAGGACCGGGGGGAGATGTGTGGCAGACTAGGCTAGGTCTCAGCCCTTAACTGAACCATGTGTGAGCTGTATGGGGGTATGGAAGAACTGTGACTGGGTTGAAACATCCAGCAGTAAGAACCAGATCGGGTTGAAGGTCAGTCAGGAAAAGCCACTGTTCTTGCTAGGACAGGAGGTGAACTGAGTAGGGCTGGCTCATGGACCCCCTGGCATGCACAAAATCTGGCACTGGGAGAGTTTCTGATGGAGGAGCCTGGACAACTTCTCTGGCAGGACACAGTCCCTGCAGGTAAGGGCAAGAAGCACAATAGGGAACAACCAGAAGAGGCAATGGAAATTATCCCACTGGTATACACATGGAATGTGTTGGGGGCAGACCAGGCTGAACCTGTTTACATCACCCATGGGTGAATCCAAGCACCAAAACAGAGTGTGGGTCGAGCCAGGTTCAGTTGTGACACATACCACTACACAATAAGCAATGTCAAGGTGAGATGAGCCGTACCAGATGTGGTTGCAGCGCCCAAACAGCACATGTGACAATCGGGGAGGAGGCAAAGCCGACAGGGGAACTTGGGCTCCCCTGCTGTACAACTACTTCCATTAGAAAGCGTGAGTTGGGATGGGGGCAGTTCAGACTAGGCAGGGCTATAAAACCTGTGGGCCTCTTGTGAGCTAGATAAGGGAAGGGCCACAGTGGGCTGTTTCAACTGGTGCAAGCAAAATGTAGAGAGGGTGAGGGTTGGTTGGGCTTAGCTGCAGCATTAGCTGGCAGAGGCTGGCACTGGGAGCTAATTCTGTCAAGTCAAATGCCAGAACCATCTGGAGAGTGAATAATCTGGGAGTGGGTGTGGCCTAGAAGGGAAAAAATGGGCACCTCCCTCAGGGCTACCACACTCACTGGACAGCATGAAAACCAGGAAAGGGGCAGGGGTGGCTAGACAGAAAGGCACCTGCCAGTAGGTATACGGGCTGAATAATAGGTTGGTTGGGTTGAACTAGGTCTCAATGCCCACTGACATGTGTGAGAGCTAAATGGGATGTGGGACAGACTGGACAAGCCTGCGGTACATACTGGCAAGCATGAGAATCAGGGTAGGGGCAGGACAGGTGGATGTCCCAACTAGGCTGCAGCTCCAACTGGTTTGAGTGAGGACCAAGTATGAAGCGAGTAGGATCGAGCTGGACTACAACATCCATTGGTTCACGAGGAAGACAGGGCTGGAAACAGAACGGACCCAGCAATTGCAACCACCAGCATGTGCATAAGCTGATTGGTGTGATGGACGGTCTTGGAGTCTGTACTAGCAAACTCACTCAAGAATCAGATCTGGGATCATCTCAGATGAAGTTTCTTTGGAGATCCCTCCAACTGAACTGCTGATCTTAGAACCCCAACCATTAAGAGACTGTCAGCCAGTGGATTCTGAATAGGTTTCATTGTGATTCGAACTGGGAGATAGGCAGCAATCCAGAACTGATGAACTATCAAAACTGTTTGAGCAGGACCCTCAGAGCATGCCTCCTGTTGGGGGTTGGGGATGGGTGGGAGGTTGGGTGGGGCTTTCCCCTTTGTTACTCCCCTAACCCCAGATACAGGGAAAAATGATAATATTAGCATGGAAACAATGGTATTACCCACTTTTACCCTGTAGCCCTTGACCCTTTGTACCCTAATCAAGTAAGATTATTAAAATAAATAAATTAAAAAAAAAAGCCAGTGAATGAATTTCACTAAAATGAAGAAATGTAAAAACTTGAGAAATAAAAGGAAACTCCAAGATGACAGTACAGGAAGAAGCCCAGATGACAGCTGTGTACCAGTCACTGAGAAGAATCAACTTAGATAAGATCTCAGATCTTTTTCAACATAACAACATAATACCTAATGTATACTTATTCAGAATAGAGTTAAACAAGAAGAGACAGGGTTTGAACCAACCATCATAAACATAATAAACAAGCAAACAAAACTTAAGAGAAATTTACTTCCAAACAAAATATTACATGGCAGAAAATGGCACTGTATTTAGGGCTATACTTTGACTACTGTTTCTGAGATCATAATAAGATAAACACTGAATATTGTTCCAACCAAAATTATCTTAAGGAGAAAATGGGAACGAGATGGGTGAGCATAAAAGTCATGGGGTTGATACAGGTTGGTTCATTTCCTATGTTGTAAAAGTTAGCAGAACTAGAATATAGAAAGGTGAGAAACTACTCAGACTACTACTAATTCTTTTAAAATATGTGACCATGTTGTATGATACAAAAGCAAGATAAAAACTCTTAAGGGTTAAACAGTTCAATTGTAAGTTAAAAAAAATTAAATACTTACTTCAATACCATCAAATTCAAATTTTATAACAGGAACAAAGGCATCTTCTACAGCCTACAAAAAAGGAGAATTGTAACACAAATGTAATTTTTATCCCTCCTAACTGCTTGCTAACAGTGTGACTATATTTGCTACTTATTTTTAATTCAACAGAAAAAATGGACTTTGTGTCCCATATTATTGAAGATGAAAACTCCTATGATAGACAGTAGATATCTTATTTCCCTCCTAAAAATGTCAGAAACCAGACGGCAGAGTTGCTATCATCTGAGTATTATTTCTTAAGTTAAAACTGAAAACTGATTATTTAGAAGGACTGCTAGTGTTGGAAATGTAAAAATGATCAGTTCATGACTGATGTATCAAAAGAAAGTATTAATCTAGCAAACATAGTTTGGATTTAGTAGAAATAATGTGTGCATATTCCTTAATTCTCTTACCTAACAAATTCATTACATCACTGCTGAAAGGATTCCTAGGTTGCCAAATATGACAGATCTTTCGAATTTCAACTTTTTCCAGGATTTATAAGGGGCATTTGTTTATTTAGTTCCTCTGACCTCTTTCCAGTAAACAATGTCCTGTTCACTATTTTCAGGGATGAAAATTTGCTGAATGACTAGCTAGATATGTACATTATGTACATATAAAAAGTTATAGGGGGCCAGCACTGTGGTACAGCACTTTAGGCTGGTGCTTGTGACACTAGCATCCCGTAAGAGCAGTGGTTTGAGTCTGATACTTTGCTTCTAACACAGCTCTCTATTTATGTGCCTGAAAAAGCAGCAAGAAGATGGCTTGGGCCAATACCATTTATGTAGGAGACCCAGATGGAGTCTCAATCTCCCTGCCTCTGCCTGGCCCAGTCCCAGCCAATTCCACCAATCAGTAAGTGAAATCAGTGGATGGAAGATATCTTTGTCTTTGTATTAAAGATTGATTTATTTATTGACCTGAGAGACAGAATTATAGAAAGTGAGAAATAGAGACCTCCCGTCTGCTGGTTCACTTCTAAAATGGCCACAATGGCCTGGTTGTAAGCAAAAAGTTTGGAACTATCATCTTATAACTTTTTCAGGTAAATAAAACAAACAAACAAAACGCATTAACCAAATTTGATACAGAATAGCACCCACAATTTAATATGCATCAATCATTTATGAGCTATTACACCAAATGGCTTCTGTAGAATATCCCGGTTCTCTCTTACAAAAAGGTTATCACCATACCTTCATTTTACAGAAGAGAAAACGGAAGCTCAGAAATAACAGATAACTTAAGAGCTGAAGTGGTAGATTCTGGATATAACTCAAATCTCTATAAAGCCCATGTTCTTAATTTTTATCATTATGTTAACAGGATAAAGCAATTTTTTAAGCAATATTTCAATAATGATAAGTCTAGCTATGTGTTAGTAAGATTTAAATAATAAATGCCAGATACTTACTCTTAAGTTCCTAATGCCATCTTGATGTTTCAATTTTTCAAAAAAAGACTGAAAAAAATCAGATCTCTCCACATGTCTTGGAGCTACGCAGAGTGCATCAATATCAGCTCCTACAAATCAAAGTATTTCTTGTCAAGAGATTATATAGCATTCTTCTATTAAAGAACATACAAACATGTATACAGAACAAAGTATAGAACACGAACATAATGATTAGCTCTGAGTAACAGGAACCGTGTTCTTCAGTATTTTCTAGTTATAAACAACAAATAAGACTTTGTCACCCAAAGTTTTCACCAACAGATCTTAAAAAAAGTTACCTTTAGTGTGTACTCCAAGTCTATAGGATCCAAATGTGAAAATTTTACCACCAACAGTTGCCACAACAGAAGGTGGAAGATTCTAGAATAAACCAAAAAGCATTCATCTATTAATAAAAACCATTTAGATGCTTACTGCCATTTATTAAGCAAATGATATATAGCACAGATGTCAAACTTACATAAGATTTGTTAAAGTATTTCAGGTTGCAAATTGAAGTAATAGTGCTCCAAATAAGAAATAAGTTGATACCCACAACATCTTAAAGATTTATTTATTTTTTTTATTGCTAAGTCAGATATACAGAGAGGAGGAGAGACAGAGAGGAAGATCTTCTGTCCGATGATTCACTTCCCAAGTGACCGCAACAGCTGGTGCTGTGCCGATCCAAAGCCAGGAGCCAGGAACTTCCTCCAGGTCTCCCACGTGGGTGCAGGGTCCCAAGGCTTTGGGCCATCCTCGACTGCTTTCCCAGGCCACAAGCAGGGAGCTGGATGGGAAGTGGAGCTGCTGGGATTAGAACTGGCACCCATATGAGATCCTGGCACATTCAAGGTTAGGACTTTAGCCACTAGGCCACAGCACCGGGCCCCGATACTCACTGCATCTTAAGAAAAACATTTTGACTCTAGTTTACTTATGTAACTTCCCATCTTTGCTTTCATGACTCTCAATAGTCACCAAGGAATTCTGTCAATAGCTATGTTCAATTTCTTGCAAGAAAGTACTAATTCTTGACATCATTTTTTAAATATTATCTTGTTATGAGAGCTAATCTAAAAAATTCAACTAATATTTCTTTGTACCTAATTTAAAATAAAGCTACTTTTATCTACCTTTAGAACAATGCAAATTATCCATCAGATATTTTCTCTAAGACATTCTTAAATTTCCATATCATGCCTCAATCAAGAAAAATTCATCCTTGATAAAAGCCAGATGTTTCCTGACTTCCCTCTATCTCCTCACGACTTTTATTGCTTAAACTACTTTTTCCCAGTTTACTAAGTTGCAGTCTTACGTTTGCCACTTCCTTCCTATTCACCTACCAATGTCCTAACTTCTCTGTTTCATAAAATCCAATGGATAATCTTAAATTATATAACTGTTCTGCTCAAAACTTGCCACTATCTTCTTTTCTTATGACTTGGGCCTACTACTGATACTCTCCATAGGTAATGGTCCTATGCTTTGTTCTTGCCTTCTTCCTTGATCTTTTCTGAAGAAACTCAATCGCCTTTCATTGTATTTGTCAATGTCTCTTGTTTATCCTCTTTGGACATCTCAAGATCATTTTTTTTTAAGATTTTTGTTTTTACTGGAAAGGCAGATTTATAGGAAGGAGAGAAAGATCTTCCATCCACTGATTCACTTTGCAATTGTCCACAATGGCTGGAGCTGAGATGATCCAAAGTTAGGAGCCGGAAGCTTCTTCCTGGTCTCCCGCTTAGGTGCAGGGTCCCAAGACTACGGAGTGCCGGAGAATTAAGATGGTAGTCACTGGAAGGCAGGAGCCTAATACCACTGAAGCTTTTTGCTGTTCACAAGAGCAAGTTCATAGTTGCCAGATTTTATATTTCTGGGGCCCAGTACAATAGCTCCATTGGTTAATCCTCCCTCTGTAAGTGCAGGCATCCCATATTAGTGCTGGTTTGTGTCCTGGCTGCTTCATTTCTGATCCAGCTCCCTGATGCGCCTTGGGAAAGCAGTGGAGGATGGCCCAATGTCCTGGGATCCTGCATCCATGTGGGAGACCTGGAAGATGCTCCTGGCTTAGATTGCTTCAGATGGCTGTTGTGGCCATCTGGGGAGTTAACCAGCAGACAGAAGATCTGTCTGTTTCTCCTCTCTGTAAATCTGCCTTTTCAATAAAAATTAATGAACCTCAAAAAAAAAAAAAAAAAGTCTGAAGTCTGGCTCAAATGAAAAGTAAAACCTTCTGAGATTTAAATTTTGACTCATTTTTGGGGACACTCAACTATATACTTTTGTCTATTCTGGAGTAAATAAAACTATTCGTTCACAAGTACAAAGGTGACATTTTAATGTATTTCATCTTGCATCTTATACCAGTAAAAACAACTAGCATATTATGAAACAATTATATGTAGTTTTGTCTTACCTTACTCTCACTGATATCAGAAATCCATTCTTTTACTAAATTATTCAATTTTCCAAGAACAACCAGCCTATAATAAAAAAAGCTTTAGGTTAAAATCAAATACACATGCTTAAAAACAAACTACATTGAGGAAACAAATAGGCATTAACTTTACATTGGTGCTGGGGTAAAAAGCATATTACACGTGAATTAAAGTTACTATGTATTTTCTATGTGGCACAGATTCTTCTTGGGCATCCTAGATCCCTTAACTTAAGAGGGTCCAAAAATGTTAACTGTGAGTATTTTGGTCTTTGAGCTATTGTCAAAGTCCAAAAAAGCCTTAATAAAAAATCACAAAGGTACCTTCAATGAAGCTATAGAGGCAAAATGAATTGTCAACTTTCATGGCTTTGCTGTGGAATTAAATCAATTTAGTGTGGTAAGAGACTCACATTCCCTAATATCATCCACTGGGTCTTTAATTACTGGCTAATTTTTGTGAAAAAAAATTATTTTATAAAATTTTGATATGATCAAAACAAACTTTCAACTGATGGCATAAGCAATTCTATGTCTAAAAAAAGAAGAGTTTAGGCATCTCAAAGATAATACATGCAAAACTGAACTGATCTTTCCAACCTTTTGTCTTTCTCAGTCTTTCCCAGATAATAAAACCATCCTTCAAGGTGATGAGACTGAAAATTTTGCCATTATTCACTTTCTCACATTAAGGTCATTAAACTCAGACAGAGATGGATGCTTGGCATGGTGATTAAGATGTTGCCAGAGGGGCTGTTGTGGTTCAATCACTGCCTGCAATGCTAGCATTCCATGAGTGTCAGTTCCACTCTGAGGTTCTTGTCCAGCTCTAGGCTAATGCACTTGAGAAAGCAGCAGAAGACCACACAAGTACTTGGTCTCCTGCCACCCATGTGGGAAAACCGAAGAGGTCCTTGCTCTTGGCTGCAGCCTGGCCTTGTGCTAGCCTCTGCAGCCTTGTGTGCTAGCCTCTGCAGCCTCAATGATCTCCTCTGTAACTATGCTTTTCAAATAAATAATGAAAATAAATCTAATAAAATTTTTAAAATGCCACTTTGAATATTCACATCCAATACTTGAGTGCCTGTGCTCAAGTCCCAGCTAGGCTTATTCTAGTTTCCTGCTAATAAGGGCCTTACCCTCTACATAGAAAACCTAGATGGAAGTCTGGCTCTGGCATGGCCCAGCCATGGCTATTAAGGTCATTTGAACATTCAAGAAACATTTAAAAAAGAGAGAGAGAGAAATATTAAACAGAAGCTGGTGTTGTTTCATGGCACATCAAGCCTCTGTCTGTGAGGCTTCCCCCATGAGTGCTGGTTAGAGTTTCGTTACTTCACTTCCAATCCAGGTCTCTGTTAATTTGCCTGGGAAAGCAATGGAAAACAGCCCAAGCAACTGGGCCCTTCATCCCTACGGGAGATCCAGAAGCAGCTCCTGGTTTTGGATTAATTCAGCTCTGGTCATTGTGGTCATTTTGAGGAGTTAATCAACAAAAGGAAGATATCTCTGGAACCCTGCCTTTCAAATATAAATAAATAAGTAAATATTGAACAAAAACCAAAATCCTCCTAGAAAAATATATCCAGAATTCTACCATTTATCACCTCTACCAATGTCCTTCTGGTTCTAGCCACCATCATTTTCTCACAGTTTTACTTTTTAAAAATCATTTACTAATAAAAATATTTTATTTTATTATAAAAAATTTATTTATAAAAATCTGAAAGGCAGATCTAAAGAGAAGAGACACACAGAGAAGGATCTTCTATTTACGGTTTCAATCTTCCACATGGCCACAACAGCCAGAGCTAAAGTGATCTGAAGGCAGGAACCAGGAATGTCTTCTAGGTCCCGCACATGGGTGTGGGACCCATGGATTGGAGCCATCTTCTGCTGATTTCCTAGGCCATAAGTAGAGCTTGATTGGAAGTGGAGCAGTTGGGACACAAACCAGTACCCATATGGGATGCTGGTGCTGCAGGTTAACAGTTATCCTGTTGAGCCGCTACACTGAACTCCTTCTTAGGGTTTTAGACTTTGCTTTTGCCCTTGCCCCTCCCTCAGACTAAAATCACTCAAATCACTCTCAGTACAGTAATTGTGTCCAAACATGCATCAGATCAAGTCAATATTCCCATTTTATTTGGAGTTAAAACCTTTATGATACCTAACAAGAATCCAAGAACCCCTTCCCTCCAAAGTTCCTCTCACCTCACTTTATTCAAATGGAATTTCTCTGCTTTCTGAATACTTCAGACACCGGGATATTTGGTTACGTGACCCTCAAACATACCAGATACACTCCCACTTAGGCTATCAACCTAGAATGTTTGCCCATCTAAAATGTAAGCTCTAAAAAGGTCAAGATTTTTCTACCATTTGTCATTTCTGTACCCCTGGGCAGCAGGATAGGTACACAGTGCAAACTTATAGAATTAATGATTAAATAAGCATGAAATCATATTAAAAACTTAAATTTAAAAAATCTTTTTTTGCAGTTTTTAATGACATACCTGTGATTTAATTCTTCCTCATCTTCAAATACTCCAAATGGTTTCATTGCATCAATTAATTTCTGTGTGTAAATATGATCAATTTCTTTAGGACATGCCAAACTAATTGGAGAAGTAATTCCATAGTGCTTTTGTTGGCGCTGGCTGTCCAGCATGGTATTCCTGTTCAACAACAAAAAGAGCAGAACAAAGCTCTAAGTATCATCATACTGACGACTGAGTATTTCTTGAATTAATTTAACACCTTAATTCACTTAAGTTTACACAGTCACCCTAAAAGCTGACTTAATACTAACAAGGCAAGAATTTTGTTAAAAAAGAAAAAAATGGGTAGTTTGAATTTATTAAGGGTTATTTGTATTGCCTACAGCTTTCAGAGTTGGGATGCCTTTTCAAGCTAAAAGTAGCATGTGTTGGCATCAGAGCAACTGTACATCACTCAGTTCAAATACAAATAATCTGAATGGGATCTGTGCTAGGGCCACCTCCACTACAACCTGCAGACATGCACACATAAGTCAAGCACCATCTAGATTCAACAATCTTTGAAAAGCATCAAAGGGTTGAAAGAAAGCTCTTATAAAAACAATAGCTACCTCACCCACAAGAATAAAAAACATCCCATTATAATTAAGGTTCTTGTGAAATAATACAGGTTTTGGAAAGAAGCTACAACTACATTTGTCCTTGGGAAACCTACTGTAGAACTCTGCTTAAAACAGAGTTTACAGTCCTAACATTCTGACTCATATTGAATAATTATAAATTTTTTACACAAAAAGGTAATCTTACAGAATACAATGCAGGTCACCCTCAAAAGACACTAGCCACCAGTAAATCAGTCTTGAATAATGTACACCTGTAATTTGTGATATTTCAGGTTTAAATAGACAATAATTTAAAAATAAGTATGAGGACCAATGGTTGATAAGACTTTTTGTTTTGCTATGAAAAGTAAACACACTCACATACACACTAAGCCAATTAATTCTTTCATGAAGGGCCACTAATACCAATAGTAAGAACGTAACCTCATAATAAAGGGCAGGCTCTTAAATTTAAACAAATTAGCACTGCAAAACATTACACATAAAAAAAAAATGCAACAGTGATTATTTAGTTGTTTTGGGATTTTAATTGCCGAAAACACTACTAATCTCAGGGAGTAGGGATGATTTTCAGCTAAACATTTTTAAAAGATCTATTTATTTATTATTGGAAAGTCAGATATACAGAGAGGAGGAGAAACAGAGAGGAAGATTTTCTATTCACTGATTCACTCCTCAAGTGGCCGCAACAGCCGCAGCTCAGTTGATCTGAAGCCAGGAGCCAGGAGCTTCTTCCGGGTCTCCCACACGGGTACAGGGTCCCAAGGCCCTGAGACGTCTTTTACTGCTTTCCTAGGCCACAGGCAGGGAGCTGAATGGGAAGCGAGGCTGCTGAGATCAGAACCGGTGCCCATATGGGATCCCAATGCGTGCTAGGTGAGGACTTTAGTCGCCAGGCTATCGTACTGGGCCCCTAAGCTAAAGATTTAATTTAGGTTATGCAGCAAGCTCCTAACAAGATCACAGTAAAAATAAAAACCAGAAAACATCAATACCAGTTGCTTTAACTTCTCATTATTTATTTTGCTTTAGAAGTAATAAAACTTCAATTAGCTATTTCAAATTGTAAAGATTTGACTTATTTTTTTTTGACTTTGTACCTCTAGAAGAACCACAGAGGTGTTTTGGTATTGTGTTTGTTGTTATGTATATTTTATATGGATCGGACATTTACATGACCCAACACTCAATTTTAAGTTCCACAATAATCCTGAGAGATCAACACTGAATGAAGTGCCATTTTCTAAAGTCCAAACAGGAAGAACCAGAATTAACTCCAAAATCTCTTTCTACTACTCAATCATTCTCCTTTATACAATTACTTCAGCTTGGGCATCAGGATTCTACATCTCACTTTCTTATCTTTATGCTGGAAAATTAAGATATCTAGGTTTTTGCTGAAGTTCCAAATCTAGGCTTCTAAACTTGTCCCATCCAGGCAAGAAGTAAACAACCAAATTTCACTCTTCCTTTTACCCATCAATTTCACCTACAAACTTAGTAAAGAAATCCTAGTACCAGAGCCTTGAGATGGCTCAACTGGTTAACTCTCCACTTCCAAGCATTGGGCGTCCATATGGGATCCGGTTCATGTCCCGGATGCTCCACTTCCTATCCAGCTCTCTGCTTGTGGCCTGGAAAAGTAGTGGAGGATGGCCCAAAAATTTGGATGGGACTCTGCACTCCCATGGGAGACCCAAAAGAAGCTTCTGGTTCCTGATTGGCTTAGCTTCAGCTGTTGCAGCCATTTGGGGTGTGAACCAGTAGATGAAAGATCTTTTCTTTTCTATGTAAAATCTACCTTTCCAACAAAAACAAATACCTTAAAAAAAAAAAAGGAATTCTAGTACAAGTGGCAATACGTGTACTGCTGCACTGTAACACTGCGCACTTAAAAATAACCTAAAACTATCACCGAGAAAAAAGGACTACATTAGGGTGTACTCCTTAATGGAATACAATTAAATAGTCACATGAATTAATCGGAAATTAAGTGCTAACACGAGAGAAGCTCGAAACACTATACTACTCTGGTGAATCCAGTGGTAAGATGACAATTATGACACTCGTTACACAAAGTTTAAAACCAACCAAGATAATGCCAGTTATTATGGGTGCACGCCTATGTAGTCACAGCACACACACATGCATCAACAATCAAGAGGAGATTCAGAATGACAGGTGTCTTTCAGGAGGGAAGTGAATGGGACCAGGGAAGGGAGAGTGCTTCAAAGATTTCACTCACACACACATGCACATATAACATTATGCTTTGGAGTGAAAGGGTGTTGGCCTCCCAAACAAGGTTTGTTCTCTGCATCTCTCTCTGTCTGGCTATTTCTCAACCAACCCAAATTTGAAGCTACAACAAAAGCTCACCCAGCACGGAAACTACTTGTGACTTATCCAAGTGTGAGCAGACGCGTCCGGACCGACAAGCCAACCCCTCCCTCCCCAGCCCGGTCCTCCAGGAGGGGGCCGGGGCGAGGAGAAGGTGAGGAGACCTTGGCTTCTTCAGGACAAAGTCCGAGGCTGGGAGAGGTCGTTCACTCCGGAGGACCGGGAGACAGCCGGCCCCGCAAGCCGGCAGCGCGGCAGGGGGAGGGTGTCTGCGCCAATGCAGACACCGGCAGACAACCCCGGCCCGGGGCGGCCAGCGGGAGCGCCGCCGACCGTTCCTCCTCAGACACACGCCTCTCGGTCCGCGGCTGTCCTCCGAGGCGCGACAGCCAGGGGCGGGCAGGGACTCCCGGAGTGCGGGCAGCGGGCGGCCAGGTGAGCCGCCCCGGCTTCGAGGAGATGCCCTTGCGACCGCCGGCCGGGAGCAAGGCAAGGGACCCCGGGCCAACAGCGCGCCGGGCTTCGTGTCAGGACCCCCCTCAGCTCGCCCCCCAACTGCCGTCCCCCACCACTTACGCAGACATCTCTTTCATCGCTTCCTGCGTCTCTCTCCAGCGGAGGGGTCTTGGGCTCTGAAGTCTGGTTCTTGCTCTTCCTTCTGTCCGCTTTGCTCCCGTCGCTTCTAGCTAGCTCGCTCGCTCACTTTGCCACTTACTACAGCCAAGGCATCCAACCGAGTGGTTGAAAACACCACAAAACCGGCTCTATTTATGACAATACAGCGCGGCCGACGCCAATATGGCGCCGCTTCCCAGCCTGCCTCTCGCCCGCCACGGCCCCGCCACGGCCCCGCCCCTGGGGGCCTGGGCCCGCCCCCGGCCACACCTCCTTGGCCTGCGGTTCCCGGGAGGCTCCGGCGGCCCCGCCCATCGGCCCGGGGGCTCTCTCACGCCCAGCGCCCGGCCGGGGGCAGCGGGCGATTCCTTTTGTCTGTGGAGAGTTCTGGCAAACCGCTTGGAAGGTAACTGAGAGAGAGGTTTTCTCGAATGAAACCTCGAACGGCGTTTCCTCACAGCGGGTGCGGTTTTAATCCTTTCCCGCGTCTGGAGTTGCCGCCCGACGCAGTCACTCCAGCGGCTGAGGAGATTGTGTCGGGAGGCGGTCACGCCCAGGCACGTGCGACTTTAACACCGTTACGCTGGGAAAAGAGGAAGCTTGTGAATTAGAAGTTAACCGTTGATTTAGCTACTCAGTGTCACCGTCCCCCCGACCCCCGACTCATGACGTATCGTCATTTTCCTTTGCGACAGGATTTATCCAAGACGGAATAGAAATGTTACACTTTTCATTTAGTTGAGACTGTTTCCTGTGAGTGTGAGGATGAAAATGGGGGGGAAAGCGGTCAGTTGAAAAGTGTAAAAGGGTAGAAGTAATTTCAGGTAGTCACTAAATCATCCCCATGGAATGTTTCATCCATTCAAATGTTTATTAGAAGCCTTATCTGTGTCGGGCACTTTGAATTTCCAGTGAATAGGAGCATTAAACCTGAGGGTTCTTTGACCCTTAGTTCAGAGTTTAACAGGGGAAATACTCAAATACAAGTGATATTCTTCTGTTGGTGGACGTCTTTAGGTCACTGGGGGCATGCCCTTGGAAGTGAGTTCTCCCTAGAGGGTCCCGTGTCAAAGCCGAGATGAGCCTGGCTAGCTAGCCACCTGCTCTTGGTCGGTACCCCAAATCAGTGAGGTCTAGTTAGTCTTGAACTGAGAACCTCCAAAACTCTGAGTAAAAATAAATCTTTTTCTTTACAGGTTAGCTTCTCTTAAATGTTTTACTTACAGTGACAGAAAATTGACACAAGGATTTATTCTTATCAGAATCACAGAAGCCAGAAAGACGGAAGAGCACAGTGTAGGCACATAAGGGCACAGTAAACTTAACTCTTACTTACTTGGATTACCATAACTCTGTATTTCTTTGTTTTTTTCTACGTGTTTATTTTTGAAATATTTATTTCATGTTTTCTCTTTAGTTTACCTATATGCTCATGTAATGCCTTGTTGGCTATTATCTGCCACAATATTTAAAAGGGAGGTGAACTCTGTTTATAATTTAACTAATTCAGTAAAATCTTAAGGTGTTTCAAAGACAGCTTTAAACTTATACCAGATTAACCAAGTCAACGTCGGATCAATGTTTTTATCTTCTTATGTAATTCATATGTCAGCAATGTTTAACTGCCTTTTGTCTATTTTTCTGGGTTTTTTGGTGGTTGTTGTTGTTAATATACCTGTAATTTACTGTCAGTCCTCAATCTTTGTTTCAGCAAGGACATTTTTATAATTTTTGGCAGTTTACATTATTACACTTGTTAAGCTAAAATTTTCCAAATTGTACATGTAACTCATGTTCACAGAACAGACATGGGTCCCTTCTTTCCATCCCTCACTCCTGTTTTATTTCCTAGGGGAACCATTATTAACAGCTGTGTATATATCCTTCCAGAATGTTTTCAATATGTCCCAAAGCACATATAAATATATTGCAGAGGTTTTGTTCTTACTTTTAATTTTGGAAGAATTGGGAACATGCTATGTGCATAATCTCCTGCTCCTTGCCTTTAAATTCTTATCTATTATTTTTATTTCCAAAGCCAGGAGCCTGGAATTTCTTTCTGTACCTTCCATGTGGGTGTAGGATCCCAAGGGCCATCCTCCTTTGCTTTCCCAGGCCATAAACAAGGAGCTGGATGGGAAGTGGAGTAACAAGGACACCAACCAGTGCCCAAAAGGGATGCTGGTGTCATAGGACAGAGGATTAGCTTATTAAACCACCATGCTGGCCCCCATAATTATTTATTTATTTGATAAAAGATTTATTTATTTGAAAGGCTGTTACAGAGGCAAGGAGAGAAAAAGATTTTCCATCCCCTGGTTTACTTCCCAACTGGCCTCAATATCCAGGACTGGGCGAGGCTAAAGACAAGAGTCAGCAGCTTCATCCAGGTCTCACTTGTGGGCTGCAAGGACACAATTACCTGAGCCATCTTTTGCTGTTTTCTTAGGTATATTAGCAGGGAACTGGATTGAAAGTAGAGCGGCCAGGACTTGAACTGGTACCTTTGTGGGTTGCTGGTGTTGCAGGCATTGGTTTAAGCTGCTATGCCATAAAAACAGGAAGTCATTTTTTTTAAAGATTATTTTTATTAGAAAGGCAGATTTACAGAGGAGACACAGAAAGCTCTTCCATCTGCTCCCTGTTAAAGTCTTAAACTGATTACAGATATTGTTTCACTTCGCTTCTAAATACATATATATAATTAAAGATTTAGTTATTTATCAAGAAGTCAGAGTTGGAGAGAGAGATATAGATTTGCCATCTGTTGGTTCATTCTCCAAATGGCCACAATGGCCAAGGCTGGCCAGGCTGAAGCCAGTTCTGCCACATGGGTGGAAGTATTCCAAATATTTAGTTCATCTTCAGCTGCTTCGTCCAGACCATCAACAGGGAACTGGATCAGAATTGGAGGTACTGGAACATGAACCAGCAAGCATGTGGAAGGCTGATGTTTGTTTACCTGCTATACCAAAAAGCCGACTCCTCACTTGTAAATATTTTAATTTATATATATAAGGACATAATTATAATTAACACAATTATTTCCCTTCTTAGTTCCAAAATGTCTTTTGCACCAAGTTTATTCAAACAGGAACCAATCAAAACTGATTGGTTGTATTTTGTTGTTGGTTCTCTAAAGTATATACGACTGTTGTGGGGGTAGGGTTGCTCTCATCATGATGTAGCAGATAAAGCCTTTGATGCCAGGATCCCATATGGGTGCTAGTTTGAGTCCATCACATCCACTTCCAATCCAGCTCCCTGATAATGTGCCTGGAAAAGCAGCAGAAGATGACCCATTTGCACCTGGCTCCTGACTTCAGTCTAACCCAGTCCTAGCAGTTGTGGCTATTTGGGGAGTAAACCAGTGGATTGAAGATCTCTCTCTACCTCTCTCTGTAATGTTATCTTTTAAATAAATAAAATAGGAATCAGCGCAGTAGCATGATAAGCCAATCCTCTGCCCTGCAGTGTTGGCATCCCATATGGGTATGGGTTTTAGTCCCAGCTGCTCCACTTCTAATCTAGCTCTCTGCTTGTGGCTTGTGATAGTAATGTAGGATGGTCTAGTTCCTTGGAATCCTGTACTCACTTTTGGGAGACCTGGAGGACTGTTCTGGCTACCAGTTCAGCTCTAGCAGTTGAAGCCATTTGGGGAGTGAACCAGTCAGTGGATAGAAGACCTATCAGTTTTCCTCTCTCTGTGAAGTTTGGCTTTCAAATAAGAAATACTTAAATCCTCAAAGTAAATAAATAAATGAAATAAATCTTAAAAGACCGAGGCTGGCATTGTACAGATTAAGTTGCACTATCTGCAGTAGTGTAATTCCATACAGGTGCTGGTTCAAGCCCTGATTGTTCCACTTCCAACCCAAATCCCTGTTAAAAGGAAAAGTAGCAGAAGACAGTCCAAGTATTTGGGTACCTGCACCCACATGGGAGACCTGGCTGAAGCTGCTGGCTTCTAGCTGCAGTCTGGCAGTCCCAGGTGTTGCAGTCATATGGGGAGTGAACCAGCAGATAGATTTCTCTGTCTTTCTCACTTGCTATAACCCTGCCTTTCAAACAAATAAATCTGAAAAATAAAAAACTACTTTAAGATCAGTTTTAGGTCCACAACAAAATTTACAGGGAAGTGAAGTGATTTTTCATTAACCTCTTGCTCCCACACTTGCATATTCTCCAATATCATAAAGCACATTTTAAGCTAGGACATTCTACCAAGATTAAAAAAAATAATAACATTTAATTAATTTATTTTTACATGAAAGAGAGAGAGAGAGAAAATGAAGGAAAGGTATTTTCCGTCTTCTGGTTCACCTAGAGTATGAATTAGCAGGAAATTAGAATCAGTGGGAGAGCCAGAGTAAGACCCAGATACTTTGGTGTAGGATGTGGACATTCCAAGCAACATTTTAATTTTATTTATTTATTTATTTTAATGCCAAATTAATATTCTTTTTGAATTTATTTTTATTATTGTCATTTTATGATACAGTTCCATACACCCATGGATTTCCCTTATCCCTTTCCCAATTCCCTCCTCCCTCACTGAGTTCCCCTATATCATTACTATTGTATAGTTCTTCATACATAGTCATATGTCCATCATTGTGGGCATGGACAGTGGCAGAGAGTCCAATATCCTGTTGTCAAGATATACTAAACAGTTTCATTGGGAGTCAGTCCATCTTTGTCTGCAAGTAGAGATGCATTCTGCATTGTATCTTCACATCTGGATGTGATAGTCTCCCTTACACAATCACTATTCATCCCCTTAAATGAAAAGCCGCAAAACAAAATCAACAACAGGAAGGAACAAAAAGAAATTAACAACATATCACATAATACAATGTTAACAATAAAAAAAAAGAAATTAACAACACCATGACGTAACATGTTGCTGAATTACTAATGTGTTGCCGAAGAAATGAAAAAGAAAATCAAGAACCTTCTTGAACAAATTGATGCTACTGTATGATCTATCAGTCATTGAAGAATTTAATCAGAAGAAAGTGTTTTGAAGAGATGAAACTAGTTACAAAACATCACAATCCATGAGATATAGTTTCTGCTGATCTTTGTTGGTGAAATGTGTCTCCTATAGGCAAGAAATAGATGGGCTTTGTTTTTTAATCCAATCTACTAATCTATGACGTTTGATAAATGAGTTTAAGCCATTTACATTCAGGGTTATGAATGGGTTGTAATTTGGTC